CACTCTGCGGACCACCATCCTCCGGCCGCTCCGCGCCCCCTCCCCCAAACGATCAATTACCAGCCACCCTTCTGCCCGGAGCGGCGAGGGGCTGGCTGGCGGCCGGGGGGAAGCGGCGGCCCGGATCACTTCTGCATGACAATTGATGGGAGGGAGGGCGCGAGGCGAGGCGAGGAGGGAGGACGGCTGCAGTGTCCGTTTTCTCACCATGGTGATTAGGCATTCCGGCCGTGCGAGGAGGCAGCCGGCGACCGGAGCGGCGTCGCGCGCAGCGAGAGCGGGAAGGGCGCGGGCGCGAGCGCAGCCCCGCAGCCCCGTCGCCGGCCAGCCGCGCGCTGAGCCAAGCCAAGCCGGGCCAGATGGCTCTGCAGCCATCAGGGACCGCTCCCGTCCAGCCCGGCCCCACTTTAGCTGTGCAAACATTTCTTTATCCGAACAAGACAATTAAACCCAGCAGCATGAAAAGGAGTCTCTCTGACTGCGTTGGGAGTGAACAACCAGAAACAACCACACACATCACAGGAGTTCTTGCCCCTGTGATGAGAGGGGGAGGAGGGCAGGGGCGTCAGGAGAACCTGGGGAGCAGCTGAGAAATCAGAGGATCAGGGCAGGTCTGCACAGGCAGTAGGGGGGGCCAGCTAACTCATTTTGGTCAGCGATTTTGCTGATCCTGTTCACAGCGCTCTTCTGCTCCAGCTAGAATCCAGAGGTTGATGCTGTGACATGGGGACTGCCCCACATGTTCTCCCTCAGCGGTGTAATTCTCCCGAAAGTCAGCGCTCACTCCAGTCCCACAGCCCCAGGGAAGGACCCTCCACAGCCACTCCCACAATGACTGCTGCCTTGTCAGTCTCAGTCTGCCCAGAGCCTATGGAGGTCCAGTGAGCTGATTCTTAGGACACAGGGTCTGTGGTGACATATGCCTTTATAAAGACACATCTCAGAGTACTAAACACTATCTCCTAGTCAGGGCATTTGGGACCTTAGAAAGACTTTTCAAATACATCAAATATAAAAGCAAGGTGTAATAACCAGGAGCTACGTCTCTCTGGGAATCTGCCTGAACAGCAAGCAAAAAACCCCCCTCAGGTCAGTGGCTGGTGCCATCCCTGAGGTGAGCAAGAAGGCAGGCTCTACCCACACAGTTCTGTCCCTCCCAGCCCTCCTGTGAGCACACATACTAGCCAACTCCAATTTGGGCTGAGTGGATAGATTGGTAGGGAGGCCAAGGACTGTGTCACCCACACAGGAATCTGGGCATGGGGGTGGCCTAAAAGGAAACTATCAGGAAACACACACAATAGGCTCAGAGAGCTAAGGGGGCAATAAATATATAGATGCTAAGACAAGGCAGCAGACAATACTTATCTTCCTTTTCATTGTAAAATTTCATTAATGAGGAAATGTTTATTTTAAAAGCCCTGGGAAACATATCCATAGACACTTTGTATGGAAGACACACGCGGACTATTCGTAATTGGTCCATAAATTTTAACATCATTTCCCTGGACAAGGAGTCTTGGAGAATGGTTCAGGGGATGACAATAAACAGGAGTTACCTCAGTCCCCTTCCTGGGGGAATTATGCATCCTCTATGAACATCTTCTCACAAAACACTCCTTCCATTTTCCTGGGTAAATAAGTCAGTTCTGTAGAGCAAAGTCTTCTTTTTTATCATAAAACCCAACACCTACCTCAGGAATCACCAGTGATGCCAGATGGGAGAAGAAGCAAGTAAACTGGAATCATCCATTAGAAGAGATCATACTAAACCCAAATATATTGCTTTCATTTTTTTAAAAAAGAGGTCTTTTTAATCATAGTGAGGGAAATCCACAATCCTGTCAATTAGAAGCCAGATTTAAGGAAAGAACACTCATGCATTACACCATGTCTGCAGGCCTCTCTTTCGAATGCTCACACATGTGGGTATATCTGCATATGGGCACAGTGTGTGCACAGGGGTGGCTGTGACAATAAAAACTGTGTCAGTGTTTCCATTGTAAAACTGATTTTTCAATGACCTAAAACTCAGCCATAAAATTTCTACTTTTAAGTGGCGGACACACACATATACATACCAAAAGTGAAATACTTATTTAGGATTTTTACACTTATGGTATTTAACAGAAACATTTTTTTGGGGGGGCGGTACCTATCATTTATATATATATATATATAAACAAGAACTGAAGAAACAGATCAACTACATCAGAAATTAACTCTATAGACTGAAAAACAAATCTAAATGGTTAATTTTGGCATTCAAGGCAAAAGCATCCTATTACTTTGCTTTTTGAACTCTTTCTAGTCTCTCTGCACCCCTCCTTTTCCCCCTCACTGCCCCATCTGCCCCTCAACTCTCCCTTTGGAAGCAGTCTTGAATACTGTCACTCGATTATCTGAGAAATATTACTTATTTCAAAACGGTTCTGTAGCGAGGATCTGAAAGGCATCTAGTGGGAATAATCAGGCCTTCTAACGGCCCTTAAATATGTATTTACATAAAACAGACTATAAATATTCCGACACACGTCGGCATATGACAGGAGCCAAGAAAGCTGCCGCAGACTTTTGTCACAGGGCCCTCCCACCCTTCTCTACAGAAAAAAAAGGTTTCCAAAAACTCCAAATCAAAAGCACAAATCCTACCTAGGACAACCCTGAAGAGAAGGCCTCTAAATGGCCTAAGGAGAGAAAGGAGAAAGGAACACAAATCCAGGGTTACCACTGGATATCTCCACTTTGCACCTTTGTTTCTTGTCAAACATCAGTGATGAACACAACTGCAGATAATAACATGCATGTGCGAACATCAATGCTTACAGATGTTTCTATAGGTTTCATGGTTGTGTAAGGGGGGGGGAAGAACACAAAAAAATACAAAAGGAAGAATATTTCAAACAAATAAGAGGGGGAAAAGGGCTCCAATGTAGATAAAACTACAATTTGCAATAAAGAAGTTTCCCCACCCTTCTGATCAGGATCTCATTAATTTCAAGGTCAGAATTCCATTTCACTTTGGGAGACAGACTCATTTAATTTTTCTCCACCCAGGCGTATTCCTGTGTGAGGGATCCATCTCCATGGGGGATGGCACCACCACACAATGCAAACCAGGCAAACAGAAGAGTTATGGCTTTGACACTCAGAGGGAATAGATATCCACATCTATGAGTTCTGACTTGACTAACAAGCTTCCTCCTGCTCTGGAGTCTGGCACAGGTAAAAAGGTAGAAAATGGCAACAAACTGGATTTGCCAGGTGGGAAGAAAGGAATCTTGCTTGATTTCTGGATGGTATTTCATGGCACAAGAGTTTAGACAGAATTTCATTTTCAGTTTATATTTGCAAGGAAAAAAACCCAGCCTGGGGGAGGGCACAGAACCTGTCATACCCTAACCCAGGGCAGTTTTTAACCAGAGGTCAGATTACAGTTAGCCTTGATTACTTGCACATCAGTGGGCAAATGAAGAGTAAAATAAAATAAAACAGATCAACGCAAGGTCACTACACGTGCAGGAGGATTCTCCAAGAGGCAGGCTCATAACACACACAAGTGGGCTGTGCAGAGAGTGAAAAGGTAAGAGAGGAGCGAAAGCAAAAGCGAGCAAGCAACACCAGCCGTCAGATAGCAGCCTTCTCCCTGAAGTGGGGAGGTCTCTGGCTTACAGACGGTGACATAAAAGACACACTCGCAACATATTTCAAAACCAAAGAGCGATGGATTTACAAGGCAGGTTGATTTTATGATGACTTTTATTGAAAAGGTACGCTGGGTTTAGGCAGATGCCTTTTAGCGCAGGAAAGTTAACACAGTGCCTAATTCAAGGAGACAGCCTGAGGAAGCAGTGCCGACAGGGGAGAGAGCTGCAATGTCTCTATTACTCTCCTCGGCATCATAAAGAGAAAGGGGGAAAATGGTGCTCATGGTGGTGGTTATGGAGAGGACGGGAGCACAAAAATAAAGAAGAGGGGAAAGCAAACCTCAGACGTAGTTTTCTTAAGAAAATAAAAATGAAGCAAGTCTTAGAACAAAAGGTTGGTAGGAAAACACCTTCAGTTCATAAATTCTCACCAGGCTTGAAGAAAATGTTTCTGCCTACCCACAGCCCAAAAAGCTTCACAATTATTTTCTGATTATCTTAGAGGAAGAAATGCCTAGTGCAATAGTCTTGGTCTCTGCACATCCCTTATGAAGGCTTACTTGTTGTAACTATTAATAGATACACCAACACCCAACAAGGCCCTTGGAGAACACAAGAAAAGCTGTTCCATAAGCAGAGATTATTAATAGTTGTGAGCACCAAGTATGGAGCAGTCACAGATCAGCCATGGCTAGTCTTAAAAGTTAGCCCTGGGACAAACCTCTAGCAAACTTGTTCTCCCAAGAGAACTCTGAGCCTTGCAGTTGCAAGAAAAACACAGCTGTTTGAAATGCTTTATGATGATTGACGACACCTTTGTCCTTCTCTGAAAAACAGTCTGATGTGGACAAGGGTTGAGAGTCGTGGAAATAAAATCAAGTGGAGTCGGCCTGATGTGTTACAATGGAAAAGCTAAAAAAATAATGTCAAGATCAGAGAAACATAAAGAGAACTGCAAAGAGAAGAGGGATAAATAAGTTGCTTCATCACACCCACACTCAGTGCTCTAGGAACCCACACTCTCTACAAAACGACAGTCACTCAACATACAGGGCACCCTTTTTACTCCAAGGGTCCCCAGAGCATAAGCCAACCAAACCCGTGGAAAGAAAGGCAGCACTGAGGCTGACTTGCCTCTGGCTACCTTCCGAGAAACATGTCCTGCAAAAAATATCAATGCTCATTGACGAGAGAAAAAAAATAAATGTTAGCACGCTACAGCTGCTGAAAGGAAAGCAGTAGTTGGCCCTTCCTGTGGCTGGGAGCAAGAAAAATGCCATCAACCTGTTGAACGCTGCTCCCATAAGGCAGGGCTTACTGGGACCGGGGGAGGGCGTGCACCTCAGTACTTACATCTGTCATTTCGATCCTCTGGACTAGATGAGGCTTCCCGATCAGAAATGAGGCCAGAGACAGCAAAAATTTTCTTCCCTGTGTCGTCAACCTTAAGTGAACCGGGGGAGCTAGATGGCAGCTGTGTCCCAAAGTCATATTCCTTGCCATCTGCATCTGAGAAGCGCAAGTGGGGAGACTCTGTGTCATGGCAGTTCTTAAGTCGCTTGGCCGGCGTGAAGGCTGACTGATAGCTCTCCCGGTCCTCAGTGGAAGCAAAGGGACGGAAAGCCCCCACGCCACTATGATTCAGCATACTAATTGGGGTGCAATCTAGGTTTGGGGGAGCAAACTGAGGGTGGAGGTGTAGTAAAGAAGGGGGGAAATCACGGTTGGCAAAAGTGCCTGGCACCCCACCTTGCCGGTGGTACATAGAGGCAAAGGTGTAGGAGCCGTTGGTGAATGGGATGTGCACGTCCTTGTCTACTGAGACAGGTACACCAAAGGGCCGTGGCTGCTGACAAGGGATGGAAGCATCGCGGCTAGCCTCAGCCGTGGATGCCAGGACCATCAGTGCTGGGGATGCCAGAGGGTTGGGAAGGTAGGATGAATTCTCCATCTTGAAGGCTGCCCGGTGTAAGTCCATCGGAGTTTCTTTCTGTGGCCGGAGTCAGACAAGAAACAGTCTTCCCTGGGAGGGAGGCCAAGCAGCACCTTGAATCAGGGCAGGGAATATCACTGGGGAATCATCCCCTTCTAAGACCTGCAGAGACAGTGAAAAGAAAAAAGAGGGGGGAGGACAGTCAGGGAGAGGAAAACAAGGGAAACCCCAAGTGATAGCAACACCATCCTTCTGGCTTACAGATGCGTGGGCAAGAGACACCACAGGCTTTAGGAGGCAGTGGGCAGCAGCAGCAAGCCATTTTCATTCAGAAAATCAATAGACAACTTACTGTGATGTACGCGTAGCTGACTTTGGTCCCTACACGTTCCGGGTGAAATGCGCCTGAGCCCAGCAAAGAAAAAAAATAATAAAACCTCCAAATACAATATTCCCTGAGCAAATGAGCTTTGGAAGGCCAAGACATTCAGTAGATTTGGTGGGGGGTAGTGGTGTCTATATTTTAAAGGGCTTCCACCTGGATATACCACTCATGCGTAGGCCTGTGGTTCAAACAGAGACCAAATTCTACCTATATAATCTCCACATACATATTCATTGTTTCTCCATCCTCACTAACAATGCCCTGATGCTGAAAAATCCCTAAATCAAGCACATCTAGATCACATACATATGTATATGGTAGATGGTACACGTTGAACATTGTATCACACACATTGGCTGATACCTGAGCATACATCTTCAGGTATTATCTACAACTGCTTTCAGAAAAAAACTGCTCTGTGAAACAACATTCTTTTGGTGCATATACCCTCTCTAATCACATGGGCTTTCTATGTCTCTTTTTGGAAAAGAAACAAAACCTTCATCAACAAAATGTTTTGCGTCTGCAACAATATTTTAAAACATAATGGGGGCCTCTGGCATATGCTCTCTAGAAGCGTCTGTCTTCCAGGGGCAGCAAAGAACGGATCGGTAATTTTAGTTACTAATGCACTCACTCTTAAACAGATTTGTAAACTGCCTTTGAATTTGCCATTAACATTTGGAACAAAATGTTAACAAAATTTCTGACTCATTTTGCTTTGCTCATGGGCTTAGAGCTGCTGTCCAATAAGCCCCGCTGGACAAAGTTGGAGAGATTTCTTTCAATTCTTCTTTTGAATTTAGGTTGCACATTTTTAAAGTCACCAATTCTGTTCAAAAAAAATATTTTAAGGGAGGGGATGGAGGGAAAGGGTTCTACATCAAAAGCCAGGATAGCATAAAATTAATAGTAAAACTTATTAGCTTCAAAAAATACACTTAATAGAAACTTAATGAAACTCAAAGTGCATCCAAAAATCGCCATCTGTTACAAACCATAAACTTCAAATTGAGTATCAAATCAGAAATAAAATGTATCCATATACCACTGCCACCACCCCAAAAAGCCCCCACCTACGTAATAGGGCATCTTTGGTATTCTCTTAAATAAAGAAACCTCAGCTAAACTGTAGATAATCCTCCTGGCTTTAATGCAGTGCAAAGAGAGTATTTCCTTCTTCCATCCTGTAGCAGACATGTCAATGACTATTATTAATTGGGGAGATGAGTGGACACCATCAGACTGCTTCCTCATTTGGCATCTTTCCTTATAGACATCATTGCTAAATTACCAGATTATGTATCTCACATTAACGGATTTTTCTCTCTTCCAAATTTTAAATAACTTTCCTGTCAAGTTATAGCAGTGCAGGGAATGATCTGCCAAGGACAGCCAGTTAGCCTGACAACTCTGGGAATCTTGTTCTTGGCTGTTTTCTAGTCAGATTAATGGTCATGCAACATGTGAGCTCGGCAAGTGGGTCTAGGTCTGTTCCAAGGGTTCTGAGCAGCACGTCACAAGAGAAATAATGACTTGTCCATCAACAAGCATTATCACAGGAGACAAGAAGAACAGAGCAAACACAACACACTGGGGTGGGGGGGGGTGTTCTCTGCCCCTCATAACCATCACCTAGAGAATTCTATTTCTATTTTTACTTCCTAGATCGCCTCATTATGTTAAATGGCTTTCATAAATTAGTAATCTGGCGACAGCACCGGACACTCCAGCAGAACACGGTGAATCACTCAAACCTAGTTATTTCATTTGAAAACTTCATTATACTGAAAATAAATCAACAGTATTTTTCCAGGCCACATCCTTTTCACGCCACTGTGTGGGCGTTGGTCCTGTAAGAGGTGCTTCGCTTTTCTTTCTTTCCTCCCCCCCTTCACATTAACAACATGTATAGATGAGGCTTCAGCAGACCACAGTCATTATGAAAATCTATAGTTAATACACTCCCAATGTCAAAATGTCATGGGTTTAAACACAGAACCCAAAATAAGAAAACTAACTGACCCTCTTAATTAAAAAAATATGGATTGTAAGATAATCAGCTTGATGGAGCATTGGGGTGACTGTAAAGAACTGGGCAAAGGGAAAGTAAGTAACTGTTACTTTTCTGCCTCTATGCTGATTTTTTTTAATTTAGCACTTCGTGCAAATCCAGATTAAAATAACTCCAGCTATTGATCCGAGCAGTGGAATTGACATTAATTTTAGTTCACTTCTCACTTTGCAAAGGGATCAATAGGAAGTAATAACAACTGACATCCTCGCTGAAAGGAGGAGAAAGAAGAGCTGAAGACAGAAATCGAAAAGCAACCAAATAAATCATCAGCTACTTTTCCACGGCATCAGACAAACTCCAAACAGATTGCAAAAAGTCTTTGTTGAATTAACTAAACAAGGAGGAGGGATCAATTCACAAAGCTAAATAAATTGTCTGGCAGGCAGTGAGGTTGGACGGAGGGGACCAACAAATATCGAGTTTTTAAAATTTCAAATCCTTGACTTGATGGGTTTGGTGGAGTTCTGCCTGTGTGGGAGGGAGTTTGTTTGTTAAATCTGCACATCCGACTTTGGTCCAAAGTGATTACCAAACGCCAGCTAACTGAATAATTAGTGAGATTACTAATTGCGTGGTTAAACATGCCAGAACTAAGACAAATGAAACGAAGAAGCCCGGCGTTTGGAACGTGAAAAATGTCTGGGGCTGGGCTGATTGTGCTGCGCTCGGGGCTCTCCAGTGCGATAGCAACTCAGGAAAAACCGAAAGCCTGAGAGTAAGTCCCAGGGAGTGGGCGCTTTCCCATTGCAGGCTGTGCCTCTTCGCATCCCGGCTCTGAGCTTCCTGACCTGCGCCTGGGATCAGCGTTGGAGGAAGCGGTGCTGCCGCAGCTGGGAGCCACAGCCACTTGCAAATGACCGTCACAAAGAAAGCTGCACCGCGCTCGTCCCCAAGCCGAGCGCAGGGCGCCCACCAAACTACCACGCGGCTGCCAATTAAAACGCACACGCCACACTCTTCTTCTTATTACAACAGGTGACATTTTTGTGATCTCCGATCCGTTTCCAAAAGTCAGGAAATGAAGAGAACAAATTAGACGCTATTTGTCCTTCGCATAAATAAACTTAAAAAAAAAATTAACAGCCAACTTAAAAAAGCGAGGAACAATGGGGAAATGGGGCCGGGGCAGTGGAGGGTGGTGAAGAACGAGGGAAGAGGGTTGTTTTTGTTTTTTGTTTTTCCTGTTTGTAAAAGTTCACAGACTTCTTTGCTTGAAGAGAATTACACACACACACACACACACACACACACACACACACACACACACACACACCCAAATGCCCTAGAGTTATCTGGAAACACCGCTCTAGCAGAAATGTTGCCACCTTATGCGTCACGGAGTAGAAGGCTAATACGCACCCGGCCTGAGGCCCGATTCCTGTGGCTCAGGGGGGACCGAATGTCTGTATCAGATCTGGACTCGAACGCAGCCTGGCTTGGCCAGGAGGTGCGAGGAAGGGACAACCTGGTGGTTCTAAGGGTGCGGGGCCGCAGCACTGCCAGCTCAGTGAGAAGGCGCAGAACTCACATTGGTAAGGGTGCCAGCCCGAGAAACCAGCTCTTTTAGGGAAAACGAGGGAAGGAACTGTGAAGGCGAGATCGACATAAATTTGGGGCCAAAGCAGAGCCTAGTCCTACCATTTCTTGGCCTGACCTCTCCTTCCAGGTCTTGGTAGCCTTTGCACAAAGAATACTTTAGTTCCAAAAAACCTCCGCAAGAAACAATTTGCATGTTAACTTTGGAAAACGAAAGCGCCAGCCCGGCAGAAGCAGACACGTGAGGGGACACGGTTCGCGGCCAGGCCTGCCATCTTCGCCCAAAGTCCAGGAACCTCGGAAGCCCTACAGCCCCGCCCCGCGGGTCACCAGATCCTGCCGCCGCGCGCCACCGCTCCAGCGGGCAGCCACCACGCTCCTCCGCTCCTGCTCTCTGGCCAACGCGCTGGCCCAGACCACCCGACCCTCCTGGTGCCCGGACTGCGGGCCTGAGACGTGGAGGGAGGGCTCTGCGGCCCGCGCCGTGGTCACGGGCCAGCCGCACCCCAAGCAGCTCGCGGAACAGGTGTGTGTGTCCTGCTCGCTCCGCGCCCCGACCCGGCCCGTCGGTGGCCAGCACTGCGCCACTCTGGGCTTGGCCTTCCCCCGCCTCGCCCCCCGAGCGCGGCGAGGGAACTCACACCACTCTTGCCTGGTTCCCGCCGGCCCGGAGGGCTCAGAAAAGAAGAAGCTCGGCCGCTTTTACTGGACACTTTTTCTGCCTTTCACCTCCACGCGTTTCCCCTTTGCGGGGAGAGCCCCCGAGACGGGCAGAGGAGGAGGCTGGCCAGACGCGGACGCAGCCTGCTCTGCTTACTCCTCGCGGTCCGGCTCGGCGCTTTCTCACTGCCCGCCCCCTTTCTCTTTATTTTTCTTTTCTCTCCCCCTTTGCCCCTCCAGCCGAGTCCACAGCGGAGCCGAAAGACGAGACGTGGCTGGTGGACATCGTGGGCAGAAAGCGCCTGAGCCTTTCCTTTCCGCAGCTCCAAGGGAGCGGAGGCCACACAGGCCGGAGACCTTGGACGGCCCGGCCCCTCAGGGCTGCGCCCGCGCCCCGAGCGCCCTGGGCCTGGTGCACCCACTGGTACGACGCACGCCCAGCTCAGGGCCTGGCCCTCGCCCTCGGTTAGTGCCGAGGTCAGGGCCCACAAAGCTGCGAGTTCTTAACGGGAAGAACAAGCCCTTCCCCTGCTTCCAGGGCAGCCGAGCCTTCGCAGGCTCGGGGATCCCGGCCGGGGTGGACCCGGGCCTCGAGCCCTTACTGGGGGCTCTCGTAGCAGGTAACGGGCGGGCATCCCTCGGGTGGCCTCACCGCCGTGGGCGGCCCCGTCCTAGGGGCCACACGGAAGCTCTCCTCCCCAAGTTTGCTCTGCCCTGGAAGAAAAGGCTGTCCCTTACAAAGCACAAAGGCGAAACGCCCAGGCAGAGCCCTGAAAAGCCTGGGGTGGACAGTGGGGGCGGCCAGGGGCTGCAGCGCACGGTGGCGGGGCCCGGCTCCCAGCTGGGGAGGTCGCCCGGCCCGCGCACACGAGCGCGGAGGCGGCGGCTGCGGGATTGCAGCGCTGGCGTCCTCGCGGAAAAGTTTAGTTCTCAAGTCGGAGGAAGAGAAATTGTTAGTTTTTAAAGGCAGGTCTAAGGTGAAAAAGAAAACGACAAAAAAAGGGCCATGCGCCATGGTCTACCCGCTAATGCTCCCACCGGGCTTTGCAGAAGCATTGGGAGAGGGAGTCCCGGACCCCGAAAATCCTGGGAGACCCCCCAAGGGCCGGGCCGTCCTAAGGCCAGGCCAGCGCAGCCGAGCGCAGGAGGGAGTTTACCGAGGGCACTCGGAGCCTGCCACCTCTACGCCAGCACCTGCCTCCTTCTGGCTGCCGCCGCGCCCCCACTGCACTCCCACCTCCCTCCACTCCCTATGTATCCGCCCCCGCTAGGAAAAAGTAAGCTCGACCACGGGGGTCCCAGAGCTCCCCAGTCTTCCCAGGGGTACCCCACAGGGCTGGTTATGTGCTATGTGTGGGCGGTTACGGACTTTTCCCATTCGGATTGCCCCTTCCCCTCCACGCCCGCCACTGCGGGCTCCCCACTGAGCACCAGGCGGCCTCGGCCCCGCCGGAAATCACCCCGGGATACACTGGGGAGCCCTGCGAGAAGGCGACCCAAACAAAGTGAGAATCGGGTTTATGAAAAGATGGAGAAAAGAAATACAGCTGCCTTCCTTTGCAGTCCCCTCACCCTCCTTACTATTCCAATTTCTGCGTCTGGTCCCTCCCCCTCGCACCCCCCCCCCCAAATAAAGCACATTAAGGAAAACTCAAGACGGAAAGTTTGAGCGAGGCAGCGCACAGAATGCGCAGAACACCGGTGCTGGGAGGTTCTGTGGCGAGGGTCTAAGGCGCGCCAGCCCAGGTCCTAGTCCCGCTAGGGGGGAGCCGCTGAGTCCCCAAGAAACCGACCCTTTGGAAAGTTAGCCAGGTTCCTGAGCAATCCTGGCTACCCTCTGCAGCCATCCCTCCTGTCTACACACTGGCATCCACACCCCTTTCTGATCGCCTTACTTGCCGTGTAAATTCCTGGGGAGAACGGTCGCACTTTTCAGGACACACAGGGAAGAAGGCGGGGAGTGCAGTGCATGAGAAGTCCCGGGTGCGCAGAGCCGGCGGCGGTAGCGGTGGTGGCGGCGGCGGCAGCAGCAATAGGCGGCTGGCCCGGGGTTTGTGTTCGCGAGCTGCCTGGGATTGCATGTACAGATCAAGAGACTCGGTTGGTGTGAGAGAAGGAGCAGTGCTGCCTCTCAGCGCTGGCTCTAATCAGTGAATGAGCCTCCACTCTCCCAGGGACTCGGAGAGACACACACACAGAGACACACTTGCGCGCGCGCGCGCGCACACACACACACACACACACACACACACGCACACATTCTCTCACACTCACACACATACAGGCACTCTGAGCACTGAATACATTAGGGCACTAAGGGACTCTGGGAAATGGAGTCCGCACCCAGGGCTATCCCAGAGAACAATCCTCCTGGCCTTTAGGAAAAGGCTCCAAAGTCTATGGTTTGCAAGACATTGTGGAAACCGAAGACTTTTCTTCACTTGTTTTCGCATCCCACCCTCTCCCACTCTAAAGATGGTTTGGTGTTCTAAATTTTTTTTTAAAATAAAAAGTGACCAAGAGTAAATGTATAAATCTAAGATTGGTACCCACAACTGCTACATGACTTCCAAGACACGGTACCTTACGACTCTGGATTTTTCTCAGAAAAAGCTTCCCTGCTCCTTTGCTCAATAATACTTCTCTGGATCTTTGCCTGTTGTAACAAAATAGCGAATAAATAGGACACATCTTTAATTTTCAGAAGGCCTAGCTTAATATCTATATTTGAGAACAAAAAAACCTGTTGGTGTTTATATTACAGTTATTTCTTCAAAACATTTTATATCATCCTTTATTTCAACAAGTACAGAATGGTTAAAGGGAGAACTAGACAGAATTAACTTTCTCTGAAAACCTTCTAGGTACTCAAAATAACAAATCTATCTTAGAACTGTGTGTTGTTTGTGAGGTGCCACTGAGTAGACTGTGACTCATAGTGACCTTACAGGACCTTACTTTATTCTGCACCATTCTTGGGATCTCTGTCATGGGCTCAAGCCCATTATGTGGTCCTGTATCAGTCCACCTTGTTGAGGGTCTTCCTTTCTTTCACTGACCTTCTGCTTTTTCCAGCATCATGTCTCTCTCCAAGGACTGGTTCCTCCTGAAAGTCTAGAACTAATTTCTATCTCAAGATAGATTTCCGAGTTGGTCAAATTAGTAATTTACTTTAAAAGTTACTAGTCCTAATTTTTAAAGGTACAGACAACACACATGCACTATTTATATGCTGCTTTAAGGTTAATGATCAGAAAAGCAGTCATGAATTAATAATAATAGGACTCTGAGAATTCTATGCTTTCAGATGAACAGCCCAAATCTTTTTGCTCTTTGCAAGATGGATTATAATATCTCCCACCCCCATTCTTTTTTTCTACCTGAGAAATCTAAGTTTCAGAAACTGAGCATCCACAAAACAAAGAAGTGACTTCTTGATCTATGAATAGATTTTTGATTGAGCCTTTGCTTTCAGAGTCAGGCTAAGCTACAGTCCTAGACGTGTCGCTTATTAATTATGTTTCCATAGGCTAATATGTAAATAAGTCCTCTCAATCTTGGTTTATTTTTCTATTAAATAGTTGATCTAAAGATTGAATGAGATTATATAAAGGTATTTAAGCACACTACCTGACTCTTCGAAGGTTGTTGGGAGGTGTCAGGGAGTAGAGACCTGATGAATAACATCAGGAAATATGCACCAGGCATAAGCCCCTTGTTGCAGTCAGGTGAATCCATTTTGATTGGCATATTCCTCTTTTTTCATTGACTTTCTTCATTTCCAGGCATGATGTCTTTTTGTTCAAAACACTGGTGTCTCCTGAGCACATGGCCGAAGTATGAGACGTATCTCACCATCCTTGCCTCTGAGAATGGTGCGGGATAAAGCAAGGTTCCTGTAAGGTCACTATGGGTCGTGGTCAGCTTAGTGACACCTAACAAGCAACACACAGTTCTGTAATTATAACTTTTTTCTCTGCAATAAATTGAATTAGAGAAGGTTTTTTTAAATAATTTGTTTGCTTGTTTACAGTTCAGTGCTGTCAACTGAGTTTAGACTCACAGTAATCCTAATTATAAGAGAACTAAATACTTCCTGGTCCTTTGCCAGGCTCACAATCATTGCTGTTGGAGCCCACTGTTGCAGTCACTATGTCAAATATTGCACTGAGGCTATTTTTCTTTTTTCAATGACCCAACATGATGTCTTTCTCCAGGAAGGGACCAGTTCCTTCTGATAACATATTCAAAGAACATAGACAAAGTGTCACCATGTTCCCTTCTTTTTTTTTTAAATTTATTTTTTATGATTGTGTGTGTACCATCAAATCTGATCTGACTGGTACAGGAGGAGATTGCCCCTCCTTCTCCAGCAGAGCATCTGGTGGATTTGAACCTCATACATCTGGGATTGCAGTGCCGCTTCATGCCACTAGGCCACCAGAGCTCCCTGCCATGTTCCCTTCTAACGAGTATTCTGGCTATTCTTCTAAGACAGATTTGTTCCTTCTTTTGGCAATCCAATATATGTATCCAATATTCTTCACCAACACCATAACGTAAAGCATTGATTCTCCTTTAGGCATCCTTATTCATTGTCCAGCATATATATGGTTCAAAATTGGTGAAGGAGTGTGTCAGGAATGTGTCCTGTCTCCTTTTCAATCTGTGTGTGGAACAGATCATTCAGGAGGCTGGGCTTTATGAGGAAGAATGTGGCAACAACCTACAGATGACACGACCTTGCTTGCTGGAACTAAAGAGGACCTGAAGTGTTTGCTGCAGAAGGTCAAGGACTGTAGTCTTCTATATGGATTGAAGTTCAACATCAAGAAGACAAAGATTCTCACCACTGGGCCAATTGGCAACACCATGATAGATGGAGAAGAGACTGATGTTGTTAACAATTTCAGCTTGCTCAGGTCCACAATCAACACCCTTGGCTCCAGCAGTTAGGAAATCAAAAGAATTGCATTGGGAAAGTATGCTGTCAGGGACCACTTCAGAGTGCTAAATAGCAATTATGTCAATCTAGGGACTAAGGTGTGACTGATCCAGGCCATGTTCTTCTCAGTTACTTGCTATTGATCAGAGAGCTGGACATTGACAAAGTGTGATAGAAGAAGAATCGATGCCTTTGAGTTGTGGTACTAGAGAAGAATATTGAACATATCATGGACAGCCAAAAGAACAAACAGGCCTGTATTGTTTTTTTCCCCTATAATTATATTTTATTAGTTTTCATAAACATTTACAGAGATTTTGGGTTTCCATTCATTCATTGTTGCACTATTCTCTCTACCCTCCTCCCAGTTTGTTCTTGTCCAAATGCCACAGTGCTTGTCAAAGCCAGTTCTGATCAATCTTCCTTGTCAGTGTGTCCTTTGCCATTCCCTATCACTCCTCCCTGAGAGAGACTTCACCCTGAGTCATAAGGAAAAGGGGATGGCGCATTCTCTTAGCTACTTCCTGCTGAAAAGGGACGCTGTGGGTTTCAGGGTGAAGATCTTCTCTCACTACTCTAAAGGGCCCCTTTGGCAGTAGGAAACACATAGACTATTATGGAGATTGATTTTGGAATTTAGATGCACATCGAGTTGTAGGTGACTCATAGTGACCCTATGAATGAAAGTCCTCAACACTTGTGTGACTTTCATCCTTTCTCCAGGTTCATAGGGTTTCCGGAGGCAAGCTATTTACGGAAGTGGATGTCATTCCTGCTTCCAAGCTTGTTTTAACCAATGAACCCCATCAAGTGCTGTCCGCGATGGGTAACCATTATCACATTTGACACATTGGTGTCACAGCACTCAGATTAACAGCAACCACAAGTTGCCTCTGTACAGCAAGTGGACCCACCAGGCCTATATGACCAATGTTTGACCAAAAGGCCAGAATTTTGAAACACCGTCTCACATACTTTGGGCATGTGATCAAGAGGGACCAGTTCTCGGAGAATAACATCATAGTTGGAAGGGTGGAAGAACAGCACAAAAGAGGAAGGCCCTGGATGAGATGGACTGATACAGTAAGTAGGGTAATGGGGGTAGGTGTGTCAGTGTCAGTGAGACTGGCTCAGGATGGGCAGGCTTCAGAGCTATTGTACCTAGAGTCACTATGAGTCACAGGTGACTCGATAGCACATCACAACCATAACAACATTTGTTGTTAAGTGCCATTAAGTGAATACAACTTGCAGTGACCCTATGAACAACATATCTGAACCTTGCCATATCTTGAGCCATCTTCATGATCTCTGATAAGTGCACTGTTACAGTATGAGGCAATTGAAAATATCTGGCTTAGGTCAGATGCACCTTAATACTCAAAGTGACATATTTGCTTTTTAACAATTTAAAGAGGTCTTTTGCAGTATACTTTTTTGTATATGTTTGGATATATTCCTAAAGTAATACATCATTTGTCAGTTGGTCCAGTGGTAAGAATCTTTATCTTCTTGATGTTGAGCTTCAATCCATACCGAAGACTACAGTCCTTGACCTCGACAGCAAACCCTCAGGTGCTCCTCAGTTTCAGCAAGCAGGGTTGTGTAATCTGCATAATGCAGGCTGTTGATGAGTCTTCCTCTAATCCTGATGCCACATTCCTCCTCTTAAAGCCTAGCCTCCCGAATGATCTGTTTTGCGTATAGATTGAAAAGGTATGAACACAAGATACACCCCTGATGACCTCCTTTCTTGCTTTTGAACTATGTAGTGTTTCTGTGCTCTGTTCTGATGACTGCTTCATGGTCTAAGTATAGGTTTCATAGGAGCACAATCAAGTGTTCTTGGATTTTCATTCTTCTCAATGTTAGCCACAATTTGTTGTGATCCACATAGTCAAATGCCTTCCCATAGTCAATAAAACATAATTGGCACAAAATTAACTGTCATGACCAAGGATGTGGTAGAGCAGACTTTTAGATAGAGATCAAAGGCCTTTGCAATTCTAAGATTCAGATTCTAGGCTCCAGAAGAGAAAAGTAATGTACATATAATAGATTGTCAGTAAATAGTTTCGTTAACTTTTGCACTGCCTCATGCACACAAATGGCTCAAAACAGTTCTGGTCATGCAAGAAGCTTAATAAATGTGAGTTGTTGCAAAAAAGACCAAACCAAACCTGTAACTGGTAGCACAATAATAGATGGAGA